AAAAAAAAAGCGCTTATTTTAAAATCGGGGCATTATATGGGTCGGGTCGGACAACCTGCCCGTAATAAGAGCGGCGTAAGAAACCATCTGGTCAGGTCCGTCTCAAAGGCCCCGACCCGAATGGGCGTTACCAGCACACAAAAAATAATGCAAACGCAAAACCTCTCGATTTCTTTTGTGGAATTTGAGTGTTAGGGATTTCGCACGCTTCTCCAACTTATTTTGCACAGAAGCTTAAAACTGGACACCATTTCGCGAGCAGAAAACTGGAATTTCCATTGAAGGCGGAGGTCGTCGACCCAGAATCACGTAAAACTCTGCAACTGTAAGTTCTTTTAGTATCGGATGTTCTTACTCTTGTTAGAGCTTTTCATTATCTCGATTATCTTGCCTGAGCTGGGCCTCCACAATTGAAACTTTTCGGGTCATTTTACTTGCTTCTTTTGGGCAATCAATCAAGATTCACAACCCTACCTTTCCTCAAACTCGTGCATTTGTAATTTCTTATGATGGAAGGCAGAGGATGTTGTATCTATGCGTGTGTATGTGTGTGAGAGTGTATTTTTCCACTTCCAGGGTGGTTCCCAATTTGGCGAGCTTTCTATTTACTGCATTTCCTTAGCGGAGTCTAGCAATACAGTTTTCCCATTTCTTGGCTCTAGGTTTTTCTTCGTTTCTTTAATGCCATTTTCCTTCATTTTCAGAATGCAAATTGCTTAAGTTATTCAACGAATGTGTTTTGTAGATGCAATTGGGGTCAGTGTACTTGCTGGTTTTCTAACACAGGACGCCTCTGAGCTTCAGTTTTCTTTTTCATCTGTTAATCGATTCGGAACAGTTATTCTGTATTAGTAGTAGGAATGTCTGCTCCATTGACTCCTTCAAAGAGATCACGCGATCGGAACTTTGTCAAGCCTAATGGGAAAGGAAAGTGGCAAAAGTCATCAGGTTCTCGTTCCAAAAATCAATCCTTGAAATTATCTCCTGGCTATGCTGTCTTTCGTGTCCTCTTTCCTGCTTCCAGGATTGGCAGTCTAATAGGAAGAGATGGGAATGTTTTATCACAAATTCGTGAAGAAACAGGTGTAGAAGTCAGAGTAGAGGACCCTATCCCTGGGTGTGATGAGAGGATAGTAGTCGTTGGAGGTTCTAATCAAGAAACTGAAGTGAACCCTGAGCAGAATAGTAAGGAAGACAACAAAAATTCTGAAGTCGAGGAGAATGAAGGTGATATTGCTGAGCAGAAAAAGAAAGAAGATAAAGACTCTCTTCCTGTGGAAGATGCTAAATTTCGGAAGGAGGTTACAAACTTGCAATTGCAGAAAGCCCTCTTTCTTGTTTCTGAGAAAATCTTTGATGAAGAACCAGAGGTGGATGGAACAGATGTTGAAGGTGATAAGATGTCTACATTTGTCTTAAGATTGCTTGTTCTTTCTAGTCAAGTTGGGTGCCTATTGGGGAAGGGTGGCAGTGTAGTCAAACAAATGTCATCTGACAGTGGAGCACAAATTAGGATTCTTCCAAGGGACAAACTTCCTTCCTTTACAGCATCCAGTGATGAGTTAGTTCAGGTAATTTTGAAGGGCACGATTATGTTGACTTTTTTTTGTTTTTTATTTTCAAAATTTTCTGCATCTTTTCAATTCAACTTGTTTAATTAAATTTTGGTACTTGGGAAAAGTTTTTGCAACGCTCAAGTGGTTAATTTGGCTTCATTAACATAGTATCCATTGTGAAATTTCTCAGCTTCCTGTAATGTTTTTATTATTGCTAGTTTGGTTGTCAGTATAATTATGACAGCTATTTTTGATAAATTGAGTACCCATATTAATGATGAACCTAAAAGGAAAAAGAAATAAAACATTTTACAGAATACTCTTTGCCTGACTGCTGGTTTGTGATGCTGTTGCAGTTTTTCACTTCTGTCTCCTGATGGACATTGTGAAGTAATATTTTAGAAACTTGTACATTTATCTCATACTAAACTCATAGAAAGAAAATGGTGGTTTGTGGAGGTGGCATACCTTAGAGTTATTTTAGCCATAAGGCTCATAATTTTTGTGGCTTGGATTTAGGGGGAAATACCCAAACAAAAGATTTGTTCCCAATGCCAAATTTTTATTTACACTTCTTTAATGATATGATTAATGATATGGATGCAGATTATCGGGGGAATTGATGTGGTGAAGAAAGCTCTTGAACTTGTTTCTCAGCAGCTAATGGAAAATTCAGCCCATGAGAGTGATCTTGTCTCCTCGAGCATGAGTGCACAGTCATTGCATTCATCTGGACAGTCTCTCTCTAGGGGTCACGAATATCCTCTGGGTAGTAGTTCTTCGTATACTCATGGAGGACCTTACTCTGTGCCTCGTGATGTTGGAAATTTTCATTCTAGTGCACCTTCTCTTGCTCCTAAACAGTATGAAACCAGCATTCCTGGTCGATTGAAACCTTCTCTTGAAATTTTAAGTTTTCGCTTATTGTGCCCTACTGAGAGAGTTGGAAATGTGATTGGAAAAGGAGGAGCCGTGGTAAAGACTCTTCAGCAAGAGACAGGCTGCGACATCAAAGTGGTTGAAGGCGCCTTGGACTCAGAAGACCGCATTATACTTGTATCTGGTCCTGCGGTATGGTAATAATTCATTGAGTATTTGAATGATGAGGTTTATTGATCATTTGTAATTTTTGCATTTATAGATTGTTACAAGGTCATTTTTCATTGACTTTTCAGCATCCAGAAGATAGAATATCACCCGTGCAAGATGCTGTTTTTCGCGTTCAGGCCAGGATTGTCAAGGCTGTACCAGATAGCAAGGAGCAGAACTTGGTAGCTAGGCTTCTGGTCTCCTCCAATCAAATTGGTTGTCTTCTTGGGAAGGGTGGTTCCATCATAGCTGAAATGAGAAAGTCGACTGGTGCATATATTCGCATTTTAGGAAAGGAGCAGGTTCCAAAGTGTGCTGGGGAAGATGAAGAAGTGGTTCAGGTTTGTTCATCTGTTGCATATATCACTTAATATGAACAGGATGTCAGGGTCGTACAATTTTTGCTGAGTTAAGATAATATCATTGCAGATTTTTGCAAAGTAGTTCCCATTTGTCTATTTTGGGTACGGGATTTGGGTTATCCTTCATAATCTGGCATTTAAGCATCTAACTTTAAAAATTACCTACATGTCACTTTACTGACAGATGAATGGAGAACCTGAAGCAGTTCAAGATGCTATGATGCAGATTACTACTCGGTTGAGGCATCATTTCTTTCGTGATGCATTTCCATCAGTTAATAGTCATCCAAATCCTGCATTCATGGATCGACTTTCTTCATTTCCTTCATATTTTGGAAGGAGGGAATTATCACCTCCAGGAATCTTTTCAAATTTAGGCCCTTCATTTAACAAGTTTGATGCTCTTAGTGGCATCCCTTCACTTGGTGATTTGCGGGATGATCGGCCTCCATTTCACAGGCCAGGTGTTCCTCTTTTATCTGATAGAAAACCATGGAGCTCTCAGGTATTGTACTTATTCTTTTTAGTAATTGTTTTTTGGTGTCTATATTTGTGATTATATTTCAGCCAAATAAAGGAATATTCTTCTAAATATTCCTTTATTTAGAAATTTATTATCTGACTGGTGTTGGTCTAAATTTATTATCTGTACTTCATATCATTGGTTTATCCTTTTTATAAATATGACTAGTTACGATATTTTCGGAGGTTGATAATCTTAGTCTTTCTTCTTAACTGTATTTTAGGGACTGGTTGAAGGTGGTGTTGGCTTGCGAGACTTTGCCGGAGCCCCTCACAGAAGAATTGGTGGATTTGGAGGGTTCGATATCTGTGACTTAAATTACTTAAGCTTGCCTATGGATATATCAGTGTTTTATTTTTATTTTATTTATGCAGATTAAATAATCCTGCTATTATTACGAGCACCACTGTTGAAGTGGTTGTTCCTCGAAACCTTGTCCCTGTTATTTGTGGAGAGAATGGGGAATGTTTGAAACAGATTCGTCAGGTATGATTGTCCACTTCTATGTTTTAGATAAAAATAATAAAAAAGAGAGTTAGAATACTACATATTTGATTAGAATTTTTTTTTAAGAAATGCATATTTAAGGTGATTTATAGCTCATGGCATTATATGGATGCTATCTCTTACCGCAATTGCTGAGTCCTTGTTTTATATTTGATAAAAGAAAAAAATAGTAGAAAAGAGAAGAGAAGAAAAAAGAAAAAGAAGGAAAATCCTAGAGGCTAGTCATGTACTCTAGATATATTTTCTTTGAAGTTCTTATAATTGGGATTTGTATCCTTTCATGGTTGAATGTATTAGCACTTGTATGAAAATGARGTTCTAATTAGTAATCAATTGAAATGTAGATATTTATTTTAGCTGCAGCAATCTCACATGACGCATTTTCTTTTAGATTTCTGATGCAAAAATTACAATTACTGAACCAAAGCAAGGAGCAGTTGAAACCGTGATTATCATTTCTGGAACACCTGAGCAGACCCACGCTGCCCAGAGTCTTATTCAAGCTTTTGTAATCAGCGAGAACGAGTCTGGCTGATTTGATACATTCAGGTAACCGTGTAGCTTACCTTATTTGGCTACTTAAATATTGGTTAATTGGAGGGCAATGTGCTGGCTTGTCTCCTTTCCTTTCGTCTTAGTGGAATTTTCTTTCTTGATTGTAGGTATATGATGATTTGGAGAGGAGATGTAGCATGTAGCACAGAAAAATATTAACTGCTGATACACCTTGGGGCAGTTTGTTTTGCCATAATCTGGAAATTTTGACAAAGGCTTAACGGCCGTGTGACATTGTTCATCTCTATATGTAAAAACAAAGCCTAGCGATACCTATAGGCATTTGAAAATTGTGGCTCCTTTGACTGCAAAAATTGTTCTTGGGGGCAGATAGTTGTAGTTGCAGCGTTGCTCAAGGATATTGAATTTTATTGATAATTTGCATTGTTCTTTTTTTTTTTCTTTTTTTTTTCAATTCTTAAAACATATCTTCATAATGTTGAGGCTGTCTGTTACATTGTTAAATTCAAACTCACTCAACGATAATATGCTTCTGGAAGTGGTGTTTTTAAGATTACTGTGAATTTGGTACTAATCATTGCTGATTTTTGAAGGGTTTGTATGTCTTGACTGATTGGACCAGGCCTTGAATTGATCCAGCAGCAGCGATTATTGAAATGACCAAGCAGGCCCAGCTCAATATCTTCAGCCAGGTCCAGGTGAAAGAGAATCTGGGCAATTTAGTCCTTGCGATGTACATCTCTATGGGGAAGTAAACTGTCAATGGCCAAAATGAAGCTGCCCCAAGCAATCCCAAGAAATCATTGAAGAATGGGAATATCATAGCTATCACAGCAGTCACTATAACATATGCTGTCCTCCAGATCAATCTGAAGTAGCTGAGCTGATACTCTCCATGGAAAGGTAAGTTGATGAGGTGCTCTGTTGTTATGAATTTGCTTTCTGGCCACTTTGTGCTGCACCATTTTTCCACAAACCCATACACAGGCTGGCAGAAGACCTGCAGATTGTAGCACTCATTTAGAAAGAGCTCAAGACATAAGCTGATGGGGAGTACAGAGATTAGTTGGAGCTCGAAAAATAGGATTCATGTCGGGGTCGGGTGATTTCACCTGGTAAGCACCGACTAGGTGGACAACAATACAGACATTGGCAAAGTCAATGAGCCAAAAGGGCTCGTAGAAGCCGAAGCCAGTAAGGAAATTTCCCGGTGCGTTGTTTCCAAATGCTGCATAACCAACACAGCCGCAGAGTATGTAGAAGAGACTGGTGGTTGAGATGCCCACAAAAGTTGCCCTCTTCATTGCTTTGTTTTCTGGTGGGGTTGATCTCAAAGTGTCCTGCAATTCATCAGATAAAGTTACCGAAGCTAGTTAGTTTTGGATTTCATTTCTCACCCATTGGTTTTAGCAGGATAGTATTATTGTCTGAATGCGACACTGGAAAAGAAAAGGAACATGCTGGGCCAAGGCACCCGCCTTTATGGCGAGGATGTGGTGGGACAGTGATGCAACAGACAGGAGTTGGAACATCATCAAAATTGTAGCATCTGTTTGGGCAGTAATGAAGGAGACTGGAGATTTAAATAATAATGTATGATTCGGGTTTGAGGGCTCCACATGAAGAAGTTGGTTGGACCGTCGGCTCGAGTCCAAACGAAACTCTGTGATCTGATGACTACTGATGAATCGGTGGGCAGGCCATGGCCATGGCCAAACCCAGAAGAAAGGGCGCTTGCACTTGCCTTCACAGTGCACTGGACCTGGCCCTCCCGGTTCCAATTTCTATGGTCCATACGGAATCTAATCCAAACCCTAAAATCAGATTTCGTGTGTTTCTTCTTTACGAATTTACTATTTTACCCCTCGCCCAAAGCAAACCACCTACTTTTCCCCCTTTATTCTTCCTTCTAGAGAAAAACTCCTCAGTAGGCAGTAGCTCCTTTTTGTTTCCATTAGACAACCAATTTTTTTAAATAAACAATTAAAAAGTTGCCTTTCCCCCCGTTGATTTCAAACGTTACCATAATCTTTACTTTTAGCTGTCATAAAAAGGTCTATTATTTTTAGGAGGTGTGACATAAAGGCTGGAGAGCTTAAAAGTTGGTTGTTTTGTTTTGTTGAGGAAAAACTGCGTGTAGCAAACTCAATTAAAACTAAAATTTTGTACAAGTAAACAACAAAGCTGTGGTTTTGAAACTGGACCCGTAGCGTAAGTGAACAACTCTTTGACGTTTGGCTAATAATTTAGGCTATCCTTTGGGTTACTATTCAAGCTTTTTGGACTATCCTTTGCTACACTATTCTGTCTTGTGTTTTTACATGTTATTTTCAATGTTCCCCCTCTTTTCGTTTTCCCTTTCATTTTTATTTGCAATATTTTTCTTAGAAACGAGAAATGAGATTAGTTACCAAACAAACATTATCAAACGAGTCCTTAGTTACCAAATACACCGCAAGAACATTATCAAACGAATCTTGAGTGTGAAAGTAGTACCTGGATTTCAACGAGGACTGTAGAGTAAGCATAAGCAAAAGCAATATCCCCAATAGCTTGAAACGTCCTGAATACTTTCTCCTCCCCCGAAACCTCAACTCCCACCCTCACCCCCGTCAAGCTCGTCCCTTCATGTCTCCCACCTGCAACTCTCGCAATCGAAAGCCCGACGCCGATCGACGCATACGCGAACGACATCACGGCGGCCACAATAGACAGCCACGAGAGCTTATGAAAATTGGGTATTTGGCTCAGGATAACTTCAATCCCAGCGAACAATATCATGAAGGGATAATTGGACGTTGAGCACTCCGCATTATGCCCATTCTTGTGGAAACAATTTGACCTTTTCACAGCCCTGCAGTAGCAGTACTCCACATAAATTACCAAATTACCAATTACTTTAATCTTAATTTTAAGGATTAGCACTTACACCATACTAATAGAGGCAGTAATTGTATAGCCGATGCTAACCCCGATCAGATTGCCGTACTGAGCCAACCCACAGAGTTTCACTTTTCTCCCTCCTGCATGCGCAGACCATATCCATTACCCAAGTTTAATTAAATCCCAAACCCAAAATTAATTAAAAAAAAAAAAGCATAAATCTGGGTTACCCAAGTGAGCCTTGACGACGTCCATATAAGTGTAATTCCGTTTTCCGGTGACGGAGTCGGGGGCTCTGTAACAATCCGCGAGCAGAGTGGAAGTGAAATAGGTGATGAAGGAGAAGGCGAGCAGCACGGCGGGGCCAACCAGCCACCCCAACTGCGCTATGGCCCATGCCAGCGACAGCACTCCGGACCCTATCACCGCCGTTATTATGTGCGCACTCGCCGTGACCCATGTTCCTAATAAATTCAAATTTACAAAATCAAAATGGGATTTTCTTATCTCTTTTAATTTTCTAGCTAGGCTTGTTCATTACCAGTTCGCTTCACTCGACCGTCGTCGTCGAAATTCTTGCCAGAGTCTCCGGCGGCGGCGGCGGCTTCTGGGTTATGCTGCTCCAGGTACAAATTCTTACGCAGCTGATCTCCTACACCTGCCATTTTTGGAACTCTTCTTTTTTCTTACACTACTTCTACTACTACTATTCTGGTTTTGATTTGTAGTGTAGGTGATAGATATGGGAAGTGGAGTTGGGAGAATTATGATTAATATAGCAAGCAAAAAGTGGGGATAAGTGTCGGGTCGGGTCAGCTGATTTTCAAATTGAAATTGGAAAGAGAAAGGTAGAATCCAAGTCAAATCCTTATTTAAGTGTAGTAATGATCTTGAAACAACAAATCTGACCCCTCTTTCTCCCTTTCTATTCCCTATTCCCTACCCTTGCCTTTGACGTGTTACATTCAACTAATATTAAAATCCCTCCCTCCATCTCGAACAAAATAATTAAAAATGTCTTTAATTGTTGTTGGGTTACGTTCATATTAACTAAAATACATAATATATATATTTGTCAAATCATCCCTCTACAATGTCAAATAATTAACAAAATGTAGATTTTATTTATCATTATTATTTTTTAGTTAAAACAAGTATAACTAAATGTTAATTGACATATCATTCTAACTATAAGTTTGATTCTTCATTCTACATGTTGTACTAAAATATACACATATATATAGACCACAATTAGAAAATCGACCATTTTTATTTAAAAAAAAAAAAAGAAAACTTTCACTTATTTATTTATTACTCTTAATTGTCCAAGTGGTTAACAGTGATTATTTACTAACTTAGCACAAGGTGAGTGCCTTTCCTTATTTGTTTATCCGTAAATAAATAACATTCACACATTAGTAATAATTAGGAGGAAAAAACCAAGAAATAACGTACACACATTTAGTAATAATTAGTCGAAAACCCAATATGAAAAGAGGGAAGAAAAAAGAAAAACTATTTTGAAGTCCACAAAAATAGAATTTAAATTAATAAAAATTAGGTCGTGGGGAGGAATTATTGAGAGAGAAGTAATGTGGTGCACCAAGAATGGTGGGTGGCTAAGAAAACCCTCCAAAACTCCAATTTCCATCATACAAATTACATAGTCCCCACATTCAAAAACACCTTTTGTTTTCCTCCATCCATTTTCTGTGACTTCAAAAAGCATATATAATTCTGATAATGGAAATATATTAAATTAACTTAGCATCGAATAATGATTCTTAGCTTCTCTATCTACCTCTTCTAATACCCCATTAATGCTTTATGCTTAAGAATGTTTCGAGAAATTGATTGTAATTATTTTTATTGATAATGATTTCACGTTTTAATCTCATTTACTACACCAATTCGTTATTGGTTTATACTTTGAAATTACTTCACTTTTTTTTTTTGTCCTTGAGATTTTAGTTATAATATTTTCTGGTGTATATGTGTTAAGATGTACGTCAATATATGGATAGGAGTTGGGGAAATGTTCTTCTGTGTAAGTAACAGAATCACAACATCAATGGAGAATAATAAATAAAGATAGGTTTTTGTACCCTCTGCACAAAGAAAAATTGTTTAAGCCCGCTTGCTGATTTGTAACATTTTCGTCCATTAACTTTAATATATAAACAATTAGTCTTTGGAGTTTAAAGTTTGTAATGATTTAGTTCTTAGCGTAAAATTTTTTGTTAAGTTTCTTATATATGTAAATCCATACATTGATGATGGATTAAATATATTTATAAATTACGAAGACTAAATTGTTATACGACAAAAATCAACATTTAATTTTGATGACAAATTTTAAAGTATAAGGACTAAATTAATTACATCAAAAGTTCAGGAGCTAAATTGTTATCCATTTGAAATTATACGAACTAAATCGTTACAAACTAAAATTAAGGGACTAAACTATTAGTTTAATAAAAGTACAAGGACAAAATATATTTTTTAACCCACTTTTATTTTTGTTTAGGAAAAAAATTAGGAATGAAAACGATAAACAAGAAACTTCATTAGATTGTTTTCAAAATTTCTACATAATTTTATACACGTTTCTTAGAAAAATGAGAAACGAAAAACTGAAGTAGTAATTAAACTTTTATGTTTCTCAAAATCTGAAATGGAGAAACAAGAAATAAGAAGTAGAAAAATCAAACCTCATCAAGTAATGCCCTAAATCGAAATCCTAGCTCCATGCTTACCGCCACTAGAAAATTACAATTCTTTCTTTTCTTTAAATTAAAAAATACTGTTATTTTTGTATTTCTCTCTCCCATAAAAAAAAAACTTTAATGGTGACGAGTAAAACACATCATTGTTGTTTTTTCCCTTCTTTTTTTTTTTTTTTGTTTTTTAGAAAATAACACAGGACTGTTGTTGGATGCGAATTTAGAAGGTGAGTTAGAATAATAATAATAATAATAATTGAGAAAAAAAGGAAAAAGAAAGAAAGATTGACAAAAAGGGTAAGGGAATGGATGAGGAAGAATATGTGTAGAGGAAGCTTGAGGTTGGGGTTTAGTAGTAAATATTGGGGACACGTGGCAAGTGGAAACGAGAGGTTATTTATTATTAAGCATTAATTATAGCAATAAATTCCGGCCGCAGATGAGGCCATGCTTCGTTGCAACAATCTCTGCCCCTTCAACCAAGCGGTGCACTTCTCATCTCTTAAATGTACCATTATCTAATTAAATTTACTATATGTTTTTAAATACTTTCAGTTCCAACGCTTTCTTTTCCTTCAAACTTTAGATATTTGGTTATTTATAATACTATTGATAAAACATTGACATACTATGTTCGTTAATAGATATGTCATATCAACAATTATGTTAGTAATAAGCTCTAAGTTATTTGAATCTAGCTAAAATTTAAGAATATAACCGAAATTTCTACGGTTTAAGTTTTAATTAAAATGGTAAGTTTATAATTTAACATGGTATATGGCTGCCTAGGTCGTAGCATTTATTTATTATTATTATTATTATTTTTGTTGAATTAAGAATTTGAATATGGAATTCTATAAAATTGGAAAATAGAGGAAGAAAAATGCAGAGATTAAAAAAAAAAAAATTGCACAGAAAGTATATTGGGGCAGGAGAAAAACATGTGTCGTGCTTACACACACTGCCTGTCCTTGCCTACATCTTCTCCCACTATTTTTCTACATTTCCATAATTAGACTCACTTTTCCATTTTCATAATAATAATAATAATAATATTATTATTATTATTATCATTAATTATTATTTGTTGGATTTGTAAAGAACGCAAATAAAGTCCAACGTTGATTAGGAGAGAAAATGATCCAATTATATATAAGAAAAAAATAGTGAAACCAAACGTAAAATTGCTAGAGCTAATGCCCAATTATCTTCTTGAGATACGAATAAATTGGAGATGGCAAGCCAAGGCAAAGGCACGTTAGTGCCGAGAATCTTAGATGAAGGTGTGATAACCACGTGTGTGTAAAGTGTCTAACTTTTTCTTTTTGGATCAAGATAATGTAATGGAATGCAATGCGGGAGTCTAAATTTTTCTTCCTAATTAAATCATTATTAAATAAATTCTAGAAGTAGTATCCATGTTGTTACGATACTCGAAACTTTTCTCTCTAAGTACAGGGGAGTAATATCTATGCTACCGTAGTATACGAAATTACTATCGAACTATATGCCGGAGTAAATGTTAGATGCATGCACATATATAAACACACATTAATGCTAATTTCTACCAAAATTGATCAGACGATGCCACCACTACATGATTCTACTCTATAATTTCCCTCTCTCTTGCTTTTATAATACACAACCATAATAATATTCCATTTCCAAAACACCCTTCTCCTTCACGGCTCCACCCTTGTCTTAACCTTCCAATTTTTCCACCTATATATCTATGTTTTATATAATATGACCATATTTAATTCAGCCTTAGGATTAACTACTGCGTGCGTTTGTGTATATACTTTGACTTTTCGTCACATATTGATATTGTTATGTCACATTAGAAATTAGATTTATATAAGTTTTGTGAGTTGAGAATGATTGAAGTTTGTAGTTTTGTATGCATACACTTGGACGGAAGGTAGGAGTTAAATATGTTGGTTGGCATTTTATTGTTGTTGGTTTGTTTTAAAGTGGAATATATATGGGGGAAGGAAGGACCATAATAGACGAAATAAATCAGAATTCAGAGATTACGCAAAAGGAAAGGAGAAATTTTATACCTTGACATTTTTTCCAATAGGGATGTGACCTGCGAGAGGGATTGTTGGCAATTGGGCAGCTTTAATCCTTACTTTGCTTTTGTAATTTCTACACGTCTTTCTATGTGATTCACGGCACTAAACATTTTAGGGTCAAGTAGTTGCCCTGTAAAATTAGTCAAAATAAGCATAAACTGACTCGAACAATCACAGATATAAGAAAAAGAAAAGTCTAACTTCTATTGATTTCTATGAGTTAGAGTAACAATTTGTGCCATAAGCCCTATAGGAAGGAAAAATTGCACCATTGTAATTTGCGTTGGAATTTGGAGTTGGAGCCTGGAGGCTTATAATTTCATCTTCTACTTCTACTCTAATTAGTCTAATCTTCCTCCTTCGAGGCTCCAAATCCCAAGATTTAATTTGAGTATTCCAAATTCCAATTCGTTATGCTTTTCATCATTCTATAAATTCCGAAATTACCATGCAATGCAATGCATTTAATGCGGCTGCCTGCCATCAACTTGCCAAAGGACATCACATAACCATGTTCTGAAAGCCGTACGGCCCAACATATCCAAAGAAGGGCCCAAAATCTTAGCCAGCCCGGCCCATGATTAATTTCATATATATAATATTTTTTAATACAAAATCATTACGTTCGAATCAGAGAGAGCATCAATTACTAGTTATCACTTATCTCGACCTTAAATGCCACTCTTAACACATAACTCTCTAACTTATCCCTCTCTTCCTCCAACTTCTTTCAGTATTTAACAACTCTCTAAAACATAACCTTCCCCCTCTCTAAACAGTGTCTATCAATTTTAATTAAAAGAATTAAATCATCTTTGGATGACCTAGTGATGAATAAGAGCCAATGTAAATAGCAAATATCTTAAAGGGAATGGATTCAAACCATGGTAACCACCTATTTAGAATTTTTTTTTTTTAAAAAAAAACTCCTACTGACACGGATTTCAAAAAATAATAATAAC